TCTTACTTGAATATATTTATTAAAGTAACTGGGAGAAAATTCCTGCATTTTTTTCTCAGCACTTTATATATATTGCAGAAAAACACGGCATCGCGTTTTTTTTCCAACATCATGCAGGTCTAGTTTGGTTCTTTACTGAAGAATTTATTAAATCCCCGTGGATAATGATTGAATATATGGTTTAGCATTCATTCATTATGGCATTTTCATCAGTTGGATTTAAGCCAAAAGCTCTTTGAAAGCTCGTCCAGCAGCACTTAACCAAACACGAGCTGCGTTCAGTGAAACCCGCGAGCGCTGGGAGTCAGATGAGACGATCTCTGATTGCCGCTGGAGAGCTTTTCCTTTGATTGGCTCTGAAAGGACCCACGCTTGACCTGGAAAAGGCGAGTGAAGTGACCAGAAGCCAGACGGCTTTATTGCAGGTGGAATTGCTGACAGAACAAACGGGCCGTAATCAGAAGGGAGCCGTTTCCCACCAAGTCCACAAACTCAGGGAACGATTTCTTCCTTTAACAGAGGAAGGACCTTTCTGGCAGCAGAAACATCTCCCTCTCGCATTAAAAGCAATTTGCGTCGGGAAGATTGTACATCACAGATGGCGCCCGCTTCATTTCACTTGGCATATTCTGCTGAAGTTATTTTCTTCCTTCCATCATTTGTTTGTGCCATTATGTTTCTCAGCTCAAACACGATTCGATCTGAGTCGATTCCATCACATATCTATATATCTCTGCTGGTTTTCTTTTGCATCAGTCCTTGTATTGATAGTATAGTTGAAGCAGTGTTGTTTTATTTATAATTGAAATACTATTATAGTTTGTTAATATTTAGAATTTATCTTCAAATATATTGATAATATTGTTAATATTTTGATATATATACATATATATATATTCTGCTTTCAAGTTTATTTAAGTTTTAGTAATTTTGTTGTGCGTTTTCATTATTTTTTTAAATGTCCACAGTTTTTGTTAATTTTATTTTAGTTTTAGTTATTTTAGTACATCAAGTTAAACTAAAAGAAATTTTAAAAAATTGCCTTTATAAACTAACTGATATAAAAAATATATATAATAATAATTAACAAAAATAAAAATAATATTATACAATATATAAATTATAAAAAATAATATAATAATAAATGTAAATATATATATATATATATATTTGATAAGTGATATAATTTGTAATATATAAAATGAACGTACATTTTATTTTAGTTAACATTTATTTTAATTTAAGTAACATTTTTTTTATGGTTTTGGTTTTAGTTTTAGTTCACTATAATAGCCCTGATTCAGAGTGAATGCATTCATGCTGCAAATTTAAATTATGATACATTTATGTTTGTCTACCAAGCTACTTTTCAGCATGCGTTTTTAAAGGAATAGTTCACCCAAAAATACAAATG